TATATATATATATATATATATATATATATATATATATATATATATATATATATATATATATATATATATATATATATATATAAATATATATATATATATATATATATATATATATATATATATATATATATATATATATAAATATATATATATATATATATATATATATATATATATATATATATATATTTATATGCATATATATATGGACAAAAACACATCTAAACTTCATTTTAGTATTTGTGTTAATAAGATGATAATTCTCAACCAGGAGGTAATCCACTGTAAAGGGTGGTAGCCCTCCTATATCAAACAATATACTGTCAATTTTTGGCAGAAGATAACTGGCCAGCCTTTGGTCAAGGAAACCATTCAGCAACTTCAAAAATGTTGCACGAATGGTGTGGTAAAATCTCACAATTTCTGTTATCGCTTTCTGATCGGATAAATAATATTAAGAGGAACGAAAAACTAAAGTATGACTGCTTGCAACAATTAGAGTCAGAGAAAATGGTTAATGTAGAATTAATAAATCAGTTAAAAATTGACATTGCACAAACTAGCTCTTTAGTCAAGCAATCGAACACTAACGACTGGATTCAAGTTCAAAAATCAGGAAAACAAGCTAAGAAGCCAAACAATCAACTTATTATAGCAAATTCTACTATAGATAAAAAGAAAGGCAAAAATATTGTTATTTATGGAGTGGCAGAATCAGATAAAGTTTCTTTAGATGATAAAATAGCTGAAAATAAAGCAAAAGTGTTGCAAATATTTACAGAAATCGGAGTCCAAGACATAAAATTTGAGAATGTGATACGATTAAGAAGTAAAAATTCTGACAAGCCAGGTCCTTTGTTGGTTTACTTGGCTGATTCCAATTTAAGAAGCAAAATACTAATTTCATCAAAAAAATTAAAATTTTTTCCAAGTTTTAAAAATATCTATATATCTCCAGATTTAACAGATGCTAAATGTCAACAGGATTTCATACTCAGAACTGAGCGAAATAAACTTAATAATGCCATTAAGGAGACAGACCCCTTTTGATATGGCATCCGTGGAAGTCAGATACAAAAATTTAAAAAAAAAAACAATCAAAGTTAGGCAGTAAAGCTAATTGTCTGTTATCTATGAATAATATTGAAAAAATAAGTTGCATGTACCTTAATGCCACATCTCTTGACAACAAATTTGATGAATTTAAATTAGTAGTTGCAACTTACAATCCTAAAATTATTAGCATTACTGAAACATGGTTCAAACCTAATTCTCTCTGCAATTTGGAGGGTTATTGTTTATATAAAAAAGATAAATGTGATGGTCGTCGAGGTGGAGGTGTATGTATTTATATTGATGCTAAAATTACTTCTTATGAACTTAACAATAATGCATTTACATTAAGTCAAATAGAACATGTCTGGGCTGTAATCCAATTTGGCAATGATAAATATCTTATTGGATGTATTTATAGACCTTATGATCTCACGGATATGACAGATATTAAAAACATATTTAAAAATGCAAGAAAATATGTTGACCAAAAAGGTTTCAAAGATCTTATTATAGTTGGTGATTTTAACTTTCCTTGGATAAGTTGGTCCAATGGTTCTATAAACTCTATTAAAAGATCATCAGATATTGAGCATGTTTTCTATCAAATAATAAATGATAATTACCTATATCAGCATGTAAACTTACCAACTTTTCAAACAACAAATAAATCTGCTGTAAACATTTTAGATTTAATATTTACTACTCAGTCTGCAAATATAACTGCCATCGATAATAAATTTGTTTTAGCAAACTTATCCAGAGGTCATTTAATAATGTGTTTTGACTTTATTCTTAAACACAAAACAATAAATGTAAATACAGGGGGAAATAAATTTTTATATAGAAAAGCAGATTATAATAGTATTAGTGCTTTCCTTACAAGTGTTGATTGGCTTCAATGTTTTCATGCCAAAAATGTTCAAGAAATGTATGACGAGTTAATTCATTACACTGAAGAACCATGTAACTTATATGTACCTATAAACACTTTGTTTGTAAATTCGTCATCAAAGAACCCGTGGCTTACCAAAGAATTAATCTCACTCATTAGAGAAAAACGAAACTTAAGATACAGAAATTGTTCGAGTAAATGGAAAAACTCAAATCTTTGTAAACAATATTAAGAATTATCAAAAAGAGTTTCATTTGAAATTTCCATAGCAAGACAAAAGTATGAGTTAATGATTGTTGATAAAGCTAAAAAAAAACCAGAACTATTATATAGATATATGAATTCACAACAATATGTTAAAGACTCTATAAAAGCTCTGAGACAACCAAACAGTGAAATAACTCAAGATTCAGAAAAGATTGCTGATCTACTGAACATAAATTTTCAAAACGTTTTTGTCAAAGAAAATAATAAGTGCACTCCATCATTTAAAAATAGAATCAATGATAACACCTTTAATCTATCTTCTGAAGATATATATATATATATATATATATATATATATATATATATATATATATATATATATATATATATATATATATATATATATATATATATATATATATATATATATATATATATATATATATATCTGACAAGTTACATCCATCTATATTGAAAAACTGTGCTATTGCCTTTGCTCTTCCTCTTACAATAATTTTAATAATAATTTTTTTATGGAATCAATAGAAAAAAGTCAACTACCAAGTCAATTTAATTCAGCAAATATAACTGCACTATATAAAAAAGGTGACAAGACTGATTCTGGAAATTATAGACCTATATCACTACCTTGTATTACTTTTAAATTACTTCAAGGCATAAAAAAAAGAAAGTTAGAAAAATATCTTTATGAAAATAATATTATAGCTAATCAACAGCATGGGTTTGTTAAAAACAGGTCATGTACGACAAATTTACTTGAAACTTTAGATTATATTACAAGAAATGTTGATCAAGGTGTTCCTGTTGATGTAGTTTTACTTGATTTTAAAAAAGCGTTTGATAGCGTTCCCCATCAAAGGCTTATCTCAAAACTTAAAGCATATGGTGTTAGTGGCTTGGCACTTGATTGGTTTCAAGGTTTCTTATCTAATAGAAGGCAGAGAGTCGTTATAGGAGATTATGTTTCAACTTGGGCTGAGGTGCACAGCGTAGTTCCTTAAGGCTCAGTATTGGGTCCACTACTTTTTATACTCTATATAAATGGTCTTCCAGAGTCTCTGAAAAATATTTCAAAATTTTATGCTGATGACACAAAAATCATGTCAATTAATTCTTCTGATGAGTTACATAATAAACTACAGTGCGATTTAAACTCTGCATATGCTTGGACACAAGACTGGCTGCTTAGTTTTAATATTGAAAAGTGTCTAGTTATGCACTATGGCTTTAAAAATAAGAGATATCCAATTTATATAAATGGTTGTAAACTCAATACATCAGATTCAGAAAGGGACCTAGGAGTGATTTTTTCAGATAACTTGAAGTGGAAAAATCAAGTATTATCAAGTGCAAGCAAAGCTAATCGCATGTTGGGCATAATAAAAAAATCTTTGGTTCAATTTGATGCTGAACTGCTTAAATCCCTATATCTTTTATTTGTTCGACCGCTACTTGAGTTTGCTATACCAGTATGGGCTCCTTATCAAAAACAAAATATAATCATTTTAGAAAAAGTACAGCGTCGTGCCACTAAACTAATACCTCTAATGAGTAAATTATGCTATGAAGATCGACTTGCTTATCTTAAAATACCCTCACTTATTAAAAGAAGACAACGAGGAGACATTATACAACTATATAGAATTTTCAAAGGTTATGATAAAGTTGAATTTAAATAAATTTATTCCTTTAAATCAAATTGTACTAGTGGCCATAGCCTGAAATATTCTAAAGAATTTTCAGTACATAAGTATAGAGAAAATATTTTGCTTAATCGAACTGTAAATTATTAGAATGCACTGCCAGAAAATATTGTCAGGGCTATTTCAACGAATTCATTCAAAGCAAAACTTGATCGATGGGAGTCAAACCATCACGGGATTCAGCTGTCTTAGTGTTCTTAAAACCACACTCACAGCATAAACTAATACTAATACTAATACTATATATATATATATATATATATATATATATATATATATATATATATATATATATATATATATATATATATATATATATATATATATATTTATATATATATATATATATATATATATATATATATATATATATATATATATATATATATATATATATATATATATATATATATATATATTTGTTTTTTTGAATGTAGACATCATGTATGAGAGTATGTAAATTATTATTTTATAAACATCAATAAATACAATTTTCTCTCAATACTAAGTTTATTTTTTATTTTTTAAAAGAAATTTTCGCTGGATTATTGTGTA